TTGGTTTTGCTTGGAACAGTTCCAAATTTGGAACTGTTGATTTTTAGCCCATGGCACGCACTTCCTGAATTGATGTTAAGGACGTCGTGGGAAGGAAAAGATAACTGACAACTGGAGATTCAAAGCTTCATGGGATGAGCAAGGCACCTGAGAACTGGGGATTTTCAGGCCACTCCTTACACAAACCCAGCACTATGCACTCACCCAGAGGAAAGTGCGTTTGCCGCCTTATCAAAGGGTTGAGTTTTAGGTGTGGTCTGCTCTTACAGGAGGCAAGAACTAAGTCCTGGCACATATTTAGGACTCTGAGGTTTTATTCTCAACCCAGGGTTTGGATGATTATGTGAAGACCACCTATCAATATGTCATCACATTGTATGAACACAGCTGCATGTGCCAAAGCATCTTCAGACCATATGTTGTGATGTCCTGTAAGCCAGTGGAACCTACTCATTGCAGAATTTTATAGGTCTCCTGGAAAGAGGAGCTTCATAATTCCTTTTATCATGGTCCCAGGAGAAGAAACCCAGACAATAAAGAAAAAAGCAGGATCCTTTGGGTCATAAACATGAAGAGAGCAGAAGAGATCCCCCAGGTCTGGCTTCTCAGAAAAATGCAGAAAGAGCAGATTAGGAGCTCCAATTCTTACCTTGGCTAAAGGATGAAAATTCGAGGCAAAGGCCAATGACTTACCAATGCGAGTTCCACAAAGGTTTGATCAGAAAAAACATGTTGGAACCAAAAGAACAGAAGGGAAAAAGGGCCCACCTGAGAAGAATAAGCTGATTGGGACAAGCCTGTGCACCAGCTCCTCCCACGCTTCAAACACTTGTCTGCCACTGGCCAGGATGGAGTCTTTCTGGAGAACGTGGCTCACTGGAGGTATTCCCCTCTGGAGCCTCAAGCTGGAAGGAGATTGTATGAGGAAATGTTGGACAGGGTTTCTGCCTCTCTTCCAAGAGAAAGATCCTGTCTACACTTTTACAAGATATTCTACAATCTTATTTACAGAAGACCATGAAGCCGTGTGCAGCCCCAGAAGTTTAATGAGTCTCATGTAACATCCCATGCTGCCATTTTCTCATGGGTCTATATTCTGACCATGTCTAGATTGTTCGTTCTGATACTGCACAGCCTTGCCCTCTATCCCTGGTTCCTAACTACAGAAGAAGCCATGGGGGAAAAACTTCTCATCAAGCTCCAGTGTCCTTGCTCACCACCATGTTCATAGCCAGTTCAGAAACCAATGACTTCTTAAAATAGTCACAAAAGAAGGCATCTTGGAGTAACTCCATGCTCATGTTCATAAAAGGCATTTAGCTTTAGAAGCATCAGATCTCTTCAACTAGGAAAGCTGGCTCCAATGCTCCATGCTTGCCAATCAAGAATCACACACATTGAAGGAAAACCCTTGCCTGGATCTTTGCTTCAGCACTCCAAGATGGCGGTGGCAGTGGTGGCAGCAGCAGCAGCAGCAACAGTTCTTAGGAAAACCAGCCAGCTCCCTCCCAGGGCTCTGGAGAGCAGCAGGGCTGGCCACCCGTAAGGAGGCAGGAGTCCTAATGGTGGCCCTTGGTTTCTTGCAGACATTGATGAGTGCCTCTCAAGCCCTTGTCTGAATGGAGCCACCTGTGTGGATGCCATCGACTCTTTCACATGCTTATGCCTTCCCAGCTACGGAGGGGACCTGTGTGAGATTGGTATGGCCATCTCGGCTTCAGCTAATGTCACTAACTGCTGCTCCCCTCCTCCTCCCTCATGCTTCCCTTCTAACCACAGACTCCAGGCCCCACGTGGGGCCCCCAAGGTTCGTCTGAACAGTGATTCCAGGGGCCACCGCAGAGAAATCTGCCCCCTGATTCCTGCTCTTTCTCTTGCTCTTCCCCTTGAAGACCCTCCTCCAGGGCACTGGTTGATCTGACTATAGGAGAGAGTGCAGGTTGAGCCAGCTTGTACTTTGGAAGGGGGGCTTTGGGAACCTCTAAAACACTCACCTTCTCCAGGGGTGCAGACCTACTGATGCCACCACTGAGGCTGGTGCATGTGTCAGACTAAGAGGACAGAGCTGATTCCATGCATTTGTCTTAAAGGAAGCCATGGAGTGGGAGTAATTGGTTCTTACTCTGGATGACAGCCACGGATCTTCTCAGTGTTGTCATGGGCATTTGTCTGCCCATGGGACCTTTGTGGCCCCTTCCTGGGCCTGGAAGCCACTGTGCCACACTGGCCGAGCTGCCTCCTCTTCTCCTGAGGCAAGAGCTATAGTTGATCTGCCTGAGAGCTTCCGTGTCACCAGCATGCTCAAGTCATGCATGAGCCGAGACTGTTGCATGTCATCTTCTCCTTACTACCACTGAGACAGCTGCCATGTGGATGCCATGTCAGCCTTGTTTCCTTTCTTGTGTAAAGCATAGGGCTGGCCAGAGAGAACAGAGCCTTGTCCCAAAGAGTGGGGCTGAGTTTCCTTTCTTGGTCCTTGCACCCCACCTGTTTCTTCATCTGAGCAGAGCTGCCAGCTCTGCCAAGGGGAGCTATGTGCCAGAAGCCTCCCAGGGCCAGGCTGAGCTCTCAGCAATCTTGTCTTTCCTGGTTCCCAGCTTTCTCAGATCTCAGGGGCTTCCCAACTCAGAAAAGAGGAGATGAGACTTTGGGATGCTGGTAGCAACAGGCCACACAGAACTGGAAGGGGGCAGGGATGAGCTTATAACATTTTCAATGAAATGAACTCTCAAGTTGGACACCTGGAAAATCCCAAGCAGGTGAAATTCTTAAGAAATCTCCCGTTGGTCCTATGCAGAGCAGGGAGGTAGGTTTTTTGTTCGTTGGTTTATTTTTTGGTTTTTTGTTTTTGAGACAGAGTCTCACTCTGTTGCTCTAGCATCACAGCTCACAGCAACCTCAAACTCCTAGGCTTGAGCAATTCTCCTTCCTCAGTCTCCAGAGTAGCTAGGATTACAGGTGCCCGCCACAATGCCAGGCTAGTTTTTTCTATTTTTAGTAGAGACGAGATCTCATTCTTGCTCAAGCTCCTGAGCCCAAGCAATCCACCGGCTTCAGCCTCCCAACGTGCTAGGATTACAGGCATGAGCCACTGCACCTGGCCAGGAAGGTAGTTTTTGATTTCTTGGGGACATTGCCGAGGTTATAGACTGGTAGGATAAATTAAGGCTTCTGCAAGAAAAGACCTGGATAGTCCTCATCCCCTACAGTCTTCCACCCTCTCTTCTGACCCCAGGACACTAGGAAATTGGAACATGGGACTTAGTGGGGTGGGAGTAGAGAGCTATAAGGATTTTCTCTTCAGGATGACAGGATATTTGCCACAGGGAGGAAGGGTCTGGAACATCCATGCAGACAACAGCTTCTGGGTCCCAGACTTGGGAAGGGCTCTTCTGGAATGAAGGCAGGGCACTCACAGGGGTCTGTACCCTGATGGGACAGAGAGATGGTGCTGGAGCCACCCAGTGGGGCCCTGGCTCTGGGTCCCCAGCTGAGCAAGCTGCATCTCTTCTCCCACCCCAGTCCTGAGCCCTTCCCTCCTGCAGGAGCCCCCTGCCTGGGCTCTGCCCTGCAGCCTCCTCCAGCATCCTTGCAATTCTGTCTCTGTCTCCCCAGAGCCTCCATCCTGCATGCCCCCCAACACACCCAGCAGCACCCTCCAGCCCTGCCTGCCCACCTCAGCCCTCAGGCACTAAAGGGGCCCCAAACCTGACCCCACAAGTCAACCCTGGGATGCAATCTCTGGCCTCTTCATGGTGCTGAGCTGCCTCTGAGGACTCTCCACCCTTTGCCAACCCTTTGCTCACCCCCTGGGGCAGGCATAGGTAGCAGGGGACCCGAGGTCTCCTCCACCCCTCCTGTTGCTGTGCCTCTTTCTTCTCAGGCCTCCACCTCTCTCTCTCTGCTGTCTGCAGCTGCCTCTTCCACCTTGCCAAGCATCTGCCCCTTCAGTCTAAGAATCCTTACCCTCGGGTACTGGTCTTCCTTTTCTGGGCAGCCAGCCTGTTGTGGCACCCCATCAGGGAGGCTACCATACAGCCTGGAGGATTCATGGGCCTCCACCTAGCCCCAGGGCCCACCACCTGGAAGATGCCAGGGAAGAAGGAAAGGGGTACCTTGGAATTCTCCTGTCTTATGCTATAGTATCTGCCAGTTCCTGAGATGTAAGCACTCCCGCTAGGGCCAGTTTGAAGCTACCAACATGATATCTCCAAAGGCAGTTGGGAAGTGACTCTCACAACCAGCTCTCTCAAGCTTGAATGAGCCAGCTCCACCATGTCCCTGAGTCTGTCCCTCTAGGCTACTCCAAGAGTTCCAAACAGCCCATTCTGTAGAACTGAGAATTCATTACAAATTTAGGTTTGTGAAGAGAGAGAAGCTTCTCCACTCTTTCCATGTGCTATGAAAATAATATAAAATAAGTAGCCAGGCCCCTGGCTCATGGACCCCCAGTTGGCTGTCTCACCCTCCAAAAGGCAGGCTCAGTGTACTTAGCTAGAGCCAGCTCCATTTGATGGCTTTCGAGCCTGAGTCTTCTTGGGACCCAAAGCAGACTTGTTTTTGCTCCTCTGCCCCCACCTGAGGCTCCGTGGGAAGGAAGCAATCAGTTCCATTCCATGCCCCAGTATGGCACCTCTGTTCCTAGGGGCCCTCAGGACCTCAGTACCATGTTTTGCTTTAAATCTCAAAACCTCTCACCTGCCCACCTCATTTTGCATAGCCAGCTGTCCTCTCCAGCCCTCCAGAGCAGGCATCAACAGGAGGAAAGCTTGGAAGAAGGGTCCCTGGCATTTCCCACAGTGGGAACATGCTCAGAGGCTCCTGGGGCCAGGCCCTAGTGGCTTTCAACTTGAATCTGTCTCCCCCTGAGCCTCCCCCATCCCCTGAGGGCACAGCATTTAAGGTGGGGGGAGCACGTAATCCGTACCACAGATTGGCAGTATCTGCCATTCTCTGCCAGCTTCAGGCCCCTCCCTTCAAGCCCCTGCCCTGTGTTGCAGACCAGGAGGTATGTGAGGAGGGCTGGACCAAGTTCCAGGGCTACTGTTACCGCCACTTCCCCGACCGTGAGACTTGGGTGGATGCCGAGAGCCAGTGTCGAAAGCATCAGTCACACCTGAGCAGTATTGTCACCCCTGAGGAACAAGAATTTGTCAACAGTAAGTTTGGGGGGGCCCTCTGGGACCTAAGAAGAAAGTGGACATGTGGGCAAAGGACTTCACCTATCAGGTGTCAGCAGACTTGGGCCCAGCAAGGCTGCCAGGGTAGGGGGATGGGAGTGGGAGTGGAGAATAGTGTTCCACAGTCTGAGTTTCCTGAAAGAAGACGCGTCTTCGGGACTAGCAGCCCTGGCTGTACCCAGGATAGCCTATTGGCAGTCAGAGTCTGCCCCAGGCTAATTCTGTCGCTGTCACCTGTCTGTGCCAGCTTGGAGAGGGGGGTCCAATGTGAACTCCAAACATGCATGCTCAGACCCTTATAAGGACCTTAGAGGCTGGTGGCATGCCCCTAGGAGCCCTCTTACCTTCATCTTTCCTCCCAAGTTCCTCAGACACCCTCAGGGTCCCATTGCCAGGCCTAACCCCCTCATCCTCTCTCTAGACAATGCTCAAGATTACCAGTGGATCGGCCTGAATGACAGGACCATCGAAGGGGACTTCCGCTGGTCAGATGGACACTCCTTGGTGAGTTCTGCAGAAGGCACCTCTGATGGCCCAGAGGAGAGGGGGTGGGCCAGAGAGAGATGCATTCAAACCCCATGCAGTTTTCACGGGCAGCTGTGTCTCCTTCCTCTCTGCCTCTGGAGACCTGCCTGGAGCTAGACAAGTTGTGCAAGTGACGGCATAAGTCAAAGGAGGGAGCCAGGAGGGAATAACAGCAAACTGCCACTAGGGATATGTGGAAGTTTATCCACAGAGGACTTGTGTCTACTCCAGGAGACCGAAGGCAACATAGATGCTAAATGAAGAGGCTGGGCAGTGCTGTGGGTCATGAGCTGCTATGGGCATCAGGGAAGGCTCCCTGGAAGAGGATGACTTTAAGTGGGAAGAGGGGCAGGGAAGAGGATTCTCTTTGTCCTGAGGCAAGACTGGAGGGAGAAGCTTGGGAAAACTTCTCTGGTGGGCAGTCTGGACCAGAGAGCCATGTTTATACCATCCAGCCCCACCCAGGCAAGGCAGTCTTTGTGGTCAGCCCTTGTTGGTCCTTCTGGAAAAGAACAGTGGGATTAGCTCCTAAGCAGGACTGTGAATCCTTGGAAACCTGTGCTCCTGAGAAAGATCAGCCTTCCCTGGAGGGCCTGTTGGTCCCGCTATGCCTAGGACAACCCCAACCACATTCCCTGCGTTTTTTGTGCCACTCCTGGATGAGCCAAAAGTTGGAATAAAAGGAGGGGGAGGCTCTATGGGGAAGAAGGTGGGGTCAGGTCAAGCTGTGCTGTTCCTGTCCCCACCTCACCCTTCCCCACTCCCACTGCAGCAATTCGAGAACTGGCGTCCCAACCAACCAGACAACTTCTTTGCTACCGGAGAAGACTGTGTGGTGATGATCTGGCACGAGAAGGGCGAGTGGAATGATGTCCCCTGCAATTACCACCTGCCCTTCACGTGTAAAAAGGGCACAGGTAAGCTGGGGCCTGGGAGGGGGTCCAATTAAGACTTTCAATCTAGGGGAGGCTCTTTCTGTGTGACAGGGGTGAGGGCCTGGTGTCCTGGCTACTGGTGTCTCCTCGCCCGTCCAACAGGCATACTGGAGCTGACCAGGGGCCCCTCCCAGCACCACCATCCCAGGCAGAGTGGCAAGGGCAAGCTTTTTGCTCGGAACTGTTTGCAAAGACAGCAAGTATATGAAGGTCACAGGCTAGAGGATGGGATCCCCCACTCCACAGATACACACTGTCCCTTAGATGTCAGTAGGGAAACTCTCCCTCAAGGGCTCCTCAGTTGGGAGCCTTCCTGTCTTTGGAGTTCCTAAGTCTGTCAGCCATAGAGACAGAGCTGTCAGGCTTTAAGTCTGTGAACACCAGCCCCTGCTCTCATGGCCTTGCATCCCCCAGGCCTCCTGTGGGTCCTGCTTTCCCTTGAACTGGATCCTTCCATAAAGAAGCAGTAGGGTCTGCGAGTCTGTGGGCTCGTGCCCTTTTTTTTTTTTTTTTAGAGACAGATTCTCATTTTATCGCCCTCGGTAGAGTGCTGTGGCATCACAGCTCACAGCAACCTCCAACTCCTGGGCTTAGGTGATTCTCTTACCTCAGCCTCCCCAGTAGCTGGGACTACAGGCACTTACCACAATGCCCAGCTATTTTTTTGTTGCAGTTTCGCCAGGGCTAGGTTTGAACCCACCACCCTCAGTATATGGGGCCGGCACCCTACTCACTGAGCCACAGGTGCCGCCCTGGGCTTGTGCCCTTTTTCCTGGGCTTTCTCCTCCCTTTTGCCTTCTCTTCATCTCCTTTAGGACATCCCCTCTGTTCTCCCCCCACCCCCGCTGCTCCAAATCATTGAGGAACCCAGATGTTAGAACCAGCAGTGTCCAAATTCTTAATGTCCAGGGCTCATTGGCAGGTGGTAGGGCTCAGTGCCCTTCCTGTGATGCCTTGGGTCATGGCCAGTGTGGGTCATCACAGAAGACCCTATGGAAGCTCTTTCTAAAGGTTGTTTACCCTCTCAGTGGCCTGTGGAGAGCCCCCCATGGTGGAGCACGCCAGGACCTTCGGGCAGAAGAAGGACCGGTATGAGATCAATTCACTGGTGCGGTACCAGTGCACTGAGGGGTTTGTCCAGCGCCACGTGCCCACCATTCGGTGCCAGCCCAGTGGGCACTGGGAGGAGCCTCGGATCACCTGCACAGATCGTGAGCATCATCCCCCTGCCCACCCTCATGGGGCCCCAGGGCAGATTCTGCAGCCTCCTCTCTGTGTCCAGAGCAGCACAGTGGTGGCTCGTCCTCTCTCAGGGACCCTGCACCATCTATAAAGTCAAGCAAAGGCAGTGAGGTCAAGGGGCTGCTCAGCTACGATTCGCTGACTCCTGCCCCTAAGGAGGACTGGGTACCCTCCCAGGAGAGGGCTCACTTTCACTGAGAGGATGAAGGAGAAAACTGGTGGCCCGGCTCGGCACCTATGGCTCAAGTGGCTAAGGCTCCAGCCACGTACACCCAAGGTGGCAGGTTCAAATCCAGCCCAGGCCTGCCAAACAACAATGACGGCTGCAACGAAAAAATAGCCAGGCGTTGTGGCAGGTGCTCGCAGGAGACTCGCTTAAGCCCAGGAGTTGGAGGTTGCTGTGAGCTGTGATGCCATAGCACTCTACCCAGGGGGACAGCTTGAGGCTCCTGTCTCAAAAAAAAAAAAAAGAAAAGAAAACTGGTGGCCTGCTTTCCTTTTCAACACCTGCCTGAATACCTGTAGCCCAAGGAGAGCCAAAGCAAAAGCAGAGCCAAGGAAGCTACTGAAGCCCCAGGTTGCCTTGATGACCTGGTTTCTGCAGGGACAGAGGGGAAACTGAGGAGAGCTTAGGCTTAGCCTCACTTCTTTCTGGGTCCACTGATAATTTTCCATCTCCTTTCACCCCAGCCACCACCTACAAGCGCAGACTACAGAAGCGAAACTCACGGGCCCCACGGAGGAGCCGGTCCGGCACAGCCCACTGAGAGGAGTTTCTAGGACGCACCCAGGACGCTGAGCCCAGGAGCCTGCCAGGCCAACTGTGCATCCCACTCAGATGGTGTCCTCTTCTTGTCACTTTTTGTCATATAAGGAATCCCATTAAAGAAGGCAAAAATAAATCCCACATTTTGTATGCACCCACTCACCCCCCCATCACCAAAACTGCATCTAATTTGTCCCCCAAATGCCAAAGCAAAGCAAATTTATTGTAACCCGAGGACTGAGTTTAGAGACATTTCTTCAATCTCCCATTGTGCCTTTCCAGAGACCAGTGCAGGGACAGGGGGAGAAGGGGAGGGTTAAGTTAAATAAAGAAGATTATTTTTTGTTTCCTGACTTTATCCAAGAGCAGTGCAATCGGTTATTTCACCTCCAGGGAGAGCTAGGGAGGAGGGAGGAGAGCTCGGAGTAGCTGGCAGGGGCAGAGGCCTGAGGGCATGAAGCAGCAGCTGAATGTACCGCTGAATTTATCTCAAGTGGAGCCAGAAGGGCTGCACCCTATGTGTGCAGGAGAAAGCTTGGGGGAGAAGGGCTGATTCCTGCTGGCAGCCAAGAGTGAGTGTAAGTGGGCAGGAGAGAGCCATTGGAGGGATCTTCCCCTGCATGAGGGTCGGGTTCCCTCCAAGGGTCCCTCTTCCAGTGTCCTCTCACCTTGGTCTGCCACCCTAGCAAGTGTCAACTCCACAGGGCTGGGTGGGGGCACTTCCTTCCCAAGGGAGTGCCACCCAACCCTTCTCCCCTCCCAACCCCCAACCCCCCCGGGACCGTGCAGGCACCAGGGTTCCGTATACCTATTTATATTTTTGAAAACTAAAGATTATGATAATTATAATAATAATAAAGACATTGGAAGAGAACTATTTCTTTTCTTTCCACCCCCCCCCCTTTTTTAATTTAAGGAGAGGCAACCACGATCTGGGCTCTTAGAACAGTGGCTGTGCAGACAGGTTTTGATCAAACGATCCCTAATTAGTGTGAATCCTGTCCAGAACCCAGGACAGTCGTGTCTATTGTGCTTTATTTTCACTAGAGTGCCGACATGTTTGATGGATTATCTGAGTGTGTGTGTCTGTATGTGAATTTGGAGGATGTGCAGACAGACACACGTGATATGTATGTATGCGTGTGTGCCTGGCAGTGCCTGTCACATATACGTGGCATGTCAGTCAGGGTGTGCTGTATGTGGATTTGCAAATAGGCACACTGTCAGAGAACAGCTGAAAAGAGACATCTGGTCACCTTGCATAGTCTGGTTCTTTGCTATCGCACTGTTTGTTCATGTGGGAGGACCCAGTTGGTAGACTGAGTCCAACAACAGAGGCAAAAATCAGGATTTATAAAGAGGGAAGAAAAAAGCAAATTCAAGCCAATCTGGGAACAGCAAACCTTGCTTACACATTTTGGGGGTAAACTGGTTAGCCAGCTATAAGCAGAAAGGGCTGGGTCTTCTGCCTATAAGCTTTAGGATGTCAAAGAAAATCTTTTCAATTGTTTATGGATTCCCTGACAAACCTTGAAAGTTGAACTGGCAGGGGCAGGCCAGGCAGTGTCCGCCCACCAATGCTGCCTCCTCTTCTGACACCTCCCTCATCGGGAGCTCTACAAGCCTTGAATCCTTGTGACAGCATCTGCGTGTTGGTTAGTGCGTGCCGATGTGCTTTTGTGCAAGCTGGTGTCTTTTCGAGTGTGGGTGAGTGTGTGGTTGAGTGTTTATTGGTAAATATATATATATACCTCTAGCTCTGGAAAGAATGAGTGGACCAAAGCGGAGGCTACAGCAGTAGTTACATAGTAAGGGCACAACGCTTCCTTAATTGATTAATTGATTAGTTGGTGGCACAACCCTCAGTGGGTTCCAAAACTAAGCACTCACAAGAATCACCTGGAGGACTTAGTAATAACACCCTGCTTGCCCCCCAGTTCCCACCCTGAGTTTCTGACTCAGCAGGTCTGGGTTAGGGCCAGGAACTTCCACTTCTAGCAAGTTCCCAGTGGTGCCGATGCTGGAGACACCATGAGGAGCACTGGGCTAAGTGGAGCACTGATTAGTGTAATCCCAGCATTCTGGGAGGCCAAGGCAGAAGGATTTCTTGAGATCAAGAGTTCAAGACCCAGCCTGAGCAAGAGTGAGACCTCGTCTCTACTAAAAGTAGAAAAACTATTTGGGCATTGTGGCGGGTGCCTATAGTCCCAGATACTTGGGAGACTGAGGCAAGAGGATTGTTTGAGGTTGCTGTGAGTTATGATGTCATGGCACTCTACCTCAGGGTAATAAGAGTCTCAAAAAAAGGAAAAATGAACTTAGTGGATGCCAGATCAGTGAGTGGCAGGGGCATGCCTGTGTAAGGCAATAGGGCTGGTTTCCTGATGTAGACAGTGAGGCAGAGGGGCGTGGTCCCTGAGATCCCTGGCCTCCAAAACCCTCTGGAAGATACAGCCGCCTCCACCTTCTAAGAGGCACCTCCCACTCTTCTGCAGGACCTCACACAGATACCCCACCATGGGATGGGGATGGTAGGGACACAAGCAAGGCTCCCTGCTACTAGGTCAGCAGGGTGTGCCATGGGGCAAGCAAGGCCAGAACCAAGTCAGCCTGAAGGGGCAGCCCATGAAGCTCCCTGCCCACCCCATGGACTGACCCAGCTGACCTGAGAAGCCTAGGATAGAACTGCCCTCCCACACACACACCAGGCAAAGGCTGGGCCCTGAGGCAGAACAAGATGGAGATGCAGAGGAGGGCTGGGGTTGGAGGAAGTGAGTCACAGCACCATTTATTATCCAAAGAAAGTACACACACTGGCTGGCCGCTCCCCACAAAGGGAAGAATGTGAACAAAACACCGACTCTTTGGAGACAAGAGTGGAGGGAAGAATGGGGACAGGAATTTCTCCCTTTCCCTGATGTCACCCAGAAGCCTAGCGACTCCCTCTTTAGTGGGCTAATCTGGGCCAGCAGCTTCACAGAAAAGTAGAAGGGAGCTCAAAGCTCAACTCTGGAGGTCCTCTCCCTCCCCCACGCTGGGGTTTGGGGAGAGCTGCAGCCCCCAGGCCCTGATACATACACTGTAGCACCCTGGCTAGACAGCTGTCTTTTCTGGATGCCAGCCTCCTTGGGGCAGGGATACAGGCTGGACTAGGAGGTGGCAGAGAGTCCTCTAAAAGCCCATAAGTAGAGGGCAGAAGAATCCCTAGATGGGGAGCCTTGGGGTATCCACCTGAGCAATGGGAGTCATTGGATTCTGTCCAGTTTACAAAAAAATAGTAAAAACAAAATTATTTTTAAATTTAAGTTGATAAGTATAAAAACAATACTAAAATTTTTCCCATTTTTCCACCCACAAGGAAAAACGAACCACTGAATAAATACACAGCCCATTAGGGAATGAGGCAGGGGCAGGCCCTGGGTCCTAGTGCTGGCGGTAGCAGTAGACACCATACAAGGAGTTCTGGGGGTCTGGGAAACCAAAGGTTCGGACACCAGGCTCTGGGGGGCCACAGTTGAGACGGGGGTGAACCACAGGGTAACGGACACTGCCATCTGCCAACCAGCCAGCATCACAGCGGTCCAGGCCACGAAACTTCCAGGCAGCAAAGAGCTGTCCCACCTTGGCAATCTGGGCACTATCTTCCTGGCAGGCTTCCCTTGCTTGTGTCAGCGTCAGCTTCTCAGGGTGCTCTAAGTAGTACACTTGTCCTAGGGAGAAAGGGACACAGTGCTGAGCAATGCAGGTTGTGCTCAGGGAGGACAGGGGCACCTGCAGCAATGCTAGCCCCAAAGACCTGACAATTGTCTCAGCCCAGGGAGCCACTATACTATGGGCATCTGCAGTGAACACTTCTGGGAACAATTCCCAGTCCTCATCCTCAACCTAAAAGCTCCATCCACCTGCCAAAGCACTCAGGTGCCACCAGTCATGTCTGTACTCACCCACCACCTATTTCCTATTTGCCAAGGGTGGACTGGTCTGAGCTCTCACTCATTCAATTATTTACTGAGCACCTGCTATGTCCCAGACACTTTTCTAAGTGCTTAGAATATAGCACTGAGTCAATTTCAGCCTTTACTTGCTTATCTTCCTATGAAATGGGCTGCTTTATGAGGACTGGCTGATGCCTCAGAGCCTAGCCTAGACCCCAGAACGTGGCAGGCCTCAGAAAGCATTTGATGAACAAATAAACAGTAGCTTGGCAGGAAGCAGCAGCACCAGCTCAGACAGACATTGGACCTGCTGGTGCTCCAGGCCTCCAGGGGGTGCCAGCAGGGCAGGCAGAGGGGATCACAAGCTTCCCGATGCTGCCCTCTCACAGGTCCCCAGTGGCTGCCAAACCCACAGGCCTGCACTAAGCCATCCCACTCACCCTTGAGAGCAGCAGCAAAGCAGAACACGTCATAGCGGTGCAGGTGGCGGTGCCTCGGGCCGTAGCTGCGCACACCAGGCGCCAGGCCCAGGCCACCACAGGGCTGCCGGGGCAGCATGATGGGGTACTGCACCGAGGCGTCCTGCAGCCAGCCCGCGTTGCACCAGTCCAGGCCCTCCTCCCAGGCCCGGAAGAGCTGCTCAAAGGAGGCCACCACCGCATCCTGCTCCTCGCAGGCCTGCTGGGCCTCGGGGAAGTTGAGCTGGTAGCGCCCTTGGGGGGGCTGATAGGGGAAGACCACACCTGGGAGGAAAGAAAGAGTTTGGAGGGATGGGCAGGGGCCCAGCTGGCAGGATACACACATCCCTCAACACATGTGCACTTGCACACGGTCCCCCAGGAAAGCTCAGCAAACCTCTGAGCTCCTATCCATTGCCCAGATCCAAGGCAGAGTCTATATCTGCTTTTCTTCCCCCTCCTAGAACTAGTCTGGTACACAGCGGTACCCAGAAAATATTTATTAGCTTCTTAAGGTAATTAATTAATAATTCAATTAATGCCTCCAGCTACAGAACAAGGATCATACCTAATTCATAAGGCAGTTGCAAGAGCCCCTGAAAGGATGTGCCATTGTCTACAGGAGCTGGGCACAGGCTTTGGGTTCAAGAGATGATTTGGCTCCCAGCTCCCTTCTGAATAGCTGAAACGTGATCGTATACCTTGTTACAAATGTGGAAGCTTCTTAGGAGAATGTAAGAAACTTTCCATGTGTGACAGATGATTTTCCAACAAAGAAGGGTGGTGAAGGGTCCTTAAATACAGGAGGCTCAAAGTCAGGGAGGTCCAGTCCCCTCCTGGTGGCCAGGGTCTCACAGAGGCCACAGACTACCCCTCAAAAGTTACCATTCATGTTTGAAACTTTACTATAATAAAAGGTGCTTTAGGGTGGCACCTGTGGCTCAGTGAGTAGGGCACTGGCCCCATGTACCAAGGGTGGCGGGTTCAAACCCAGCCCCAGCTAAACTGTAACAAAAAAATAGCTGGGTATTGTGGTGGGCGCCTGTAGTCCCAGCTACTTGGGAGGCTGAGGCAAGAGAATCGCCTAAGCCCAAGAACTGGAGGTTGCTGTGAGCTGTGACGCCATGAAACTCTACCAAGGGTGACAAAGTAAAACTGTCTCTAAAACAAAAACAAAAAAGTTGCTTTAAACATCAAGATCTGGTCCCTACTAAATTAGATGAAGCCTTAAGGAGTGGGGGTGATAATAGGGGCCTGAGAAAGGACAGTACTTGGCTAGGGTTGTTTACCAAAGTCCTTGGAATCTCCTCCCTATGCCCAGGGACCCAAGAACATTCTGAGCTCCAAACCTCAGGAAGCCAAGCAGCTTGAAAGCCAGGTTGAGGGGGCAGAGAAGCCCTGACCATCAGCTTGCATCCTCCATGTGTATTTTCTGGGGGACTATTTTATGCCTGGTCCTACTCTAGCCCTAACCCTCACAGCTCCAGGACAGGGTGAGGACTCCTTCTTTCTCTAGGCTGCCCCTGGGGACCCTAGACAAATGATTCTTGCAGTCTCTCTCACGTCCTCCTGCCACCCCCAACTCCAGGAATGAAGCCATCTAGGCCATGTAGATTGGACAGGTGGATCCTGCCTGCAAAGGAAACACATTTTGAGGGGCACACAATTTATCCTCATCATCTCTGAGGGAGGGAAAGGAGGGACTGTTAGTCTTCATTTTACACCTTAAAGGTCTGGAGCCCTGAGGGGCATAAGGCATCTACCCACGTGCCACAGCTGGGACAGCCAGCAATGGAATTCTGTTATTCTCCTCTACCGCCAAGCTGCCCCCCAGCAGGTGTGAGAGGTACAAGAGAAAGAAAAGGTAAAAAAGCAACTTAGAGATCTCCTACAGGGGCCCCCACACAAGATTTGGCTTACAAGGTCTGGCTGATTTGGGCACACAAAATGTTGGTTGGTTGGTTTTTTTTGTTTTTTTGTTTTTTTTTTCTGAGACAGAGCCTCAAGCTGTCCCCCTGGGCAGAGTGCCGTGGCATCACAGCTCACAGCAATCTCCAACTCCTGGGCTCAAAGGAGTCTACCACCTCAGCCTCCCAAGCAGCTGGGACCACAGGCACCCGCCACAACACCTGGCCACTCTTTGGTTGCAGCCATCATTGTTATTTGGCAGGCCTAGGCTGGATTTGAACCCGCCACCTTAGGTGTACGTGGCTGGCGCCCTAGCCGCCTGAGCCACAGGCACGGAGCCGGTTGGTTGGTTTTTTTAAACAGAAGATTTTTTTTTTTTTTGAGACAGAGCCTCAAGCTGTCCCCCTGGGTAGAGTGCTGTGGCATTACAGCTCACAGCAACCTCCAACTCCTGGGCTCAAGCGAGTCTCCTGCCTCCACCTCCCAAGTAGCTGGGACCACAGGCGCCCGCCACAACGCCCGGCTATTTTTTTTTGGTTGCAGCCATCATTGTTGTTTGGCGGGTCCGGGCTGGGGATTCGAACCCGCCACCTTAGGTGTACGTGGCTGGCGCCTTAGCCGGTTGAGCTATAGGCGCCGAGCCTAAACAGAAGATTTTTATGTAAAAATCCAGAGGTTTCATTTAAAAAGATAAGCTTGTCTTGTCAAATCAGAAAATCTGTCAGCATTGGGCCTGCACTCTGGCATGGCCATCCTGGGGCTGGAGTACAGTGGCTTCCTACAGCCAGAGCAAAAACCCAGCAGTGTACTGGATCCTCACATTCCTGATCACCTCTCCTGATCACCTCACTCTGGGTCTGCCTCATCTATTTAGCTGTTGCCCCCCTAACTCTGCTCAAATCTCAGCTCTGTCCCTAATAAGCTGAGGGGCCAGCTCCCACTTTCCTCTCTCCAAGTGGCATGTGAATAAGAAGAATCAGAGGAGAGCAAATTCTAGAGGCCAGCTGCCTGGGTTCAAACCCCTGCTGTGCCATTCATAAGCTGTATGACCTTAGGTAAATTACTTGACCTCTCTGTGCTTCATTCTCTTCATCTGTAAAATGGAGGTGATAATAAGAACAGCTTCCCCATGGGGTTGTTTTGGGGATTCAACACATTTATGTCTCTAAGGCACAAAGATCTGGGTGCTTCTTGGGGCCTCTCCCCTCTGCCCTCAGGTCCCAGTGTCACCCAGTCCCAGGCAGGGTCTCACCCCGAAGCTCCAGCTCCACCAGGCCACTCTCATCCTCCAGCCCATCAATGACCTCACAACGGTAGCGCCCATAGTCTTCCAACCGCAGGTCTCGGATCTCCAGAGAGACATCATGCTCCTTATCCTGCCGCAGGTGCACCCGGCCTTGGTAGTCCCCAAAGGAGCGGTGCTTCAGTCCGATGGCCACCAGCACATCCTGCTCTGGGGCTCCGTTCTCTGACAGTTTCCACCATTTGATGCGCACAGGCCGTGGGGAGACCAGGTCTGGCTCATAGTGGTAATGGCAGGGCAGGGTCACACTGGCCCCTCGGTGGGTGAAGAGGGTCTCCTCAGGTGTCTCTACCACCAGCTTCACACCATTGAAGAGGCCTGGGGGGAGAAGCACAGTGCAAATAGGCATATCTGTACTGTTGCAGGGGCCACCACACACCTTCATTTCTAGCTCCCTCCATATTCAGTTGTTACAGATTGCAAAAATGGACACCATGCGTCCACAAGCTCTGCCAAGTGGCTTTGCATCTTCTTCCATCAGGAGGTGACACTTATTCTTCCACTCTTTCTCTTAGGACCTGCCAGCCACCATGATCACATGCCTAGGTTCTGGTGCTAGAGGATGAGAGACCACATAGAACAGAGACAAACCAAGGCCATCCTAGAGCGACCAGCGCTCCCCACCCCCAACCTGCCAACCAGCTATAGGTGCATCTGTAAGACCAGGAGAAATGAAGCCCACTCCAAAATGCTGACCCATGAGATCATGAGTTAAATAAACAGCTGACCAGGGGAGATCACATTTAAGCTGTATCTTAAAAAACTGGCAGGACTGGCTCGGCGCCTGTGGCTCAAGCGGCTAAGGCACCAGCCACATACACCTAAGGTGGCGGGTTCGAATCCGCAGCCCGGGCCCGCCAAACAACAATGATGGCTGCAACCAAAAAATGGCCAGGCGCTGTGGCGGGCGCCTGTAGTCCCAGCTACTTGGGAGGCTGAGGCAGGAGATTCACTTGAGCCCAGGAGTTGGAGGTTCCTGTGAGCGTGATGCCATGGCACTCTACCCAGGGGGACAGCTTGAGGCTCCGTCTCAAAAAAAAAAAAAAAAAAAAAAACTGGCAGGACTTTGGGGGCAAATATAAAAAACCTAAATGAATCTGGCTCCGTGTCCCAGCAGCATAGTAAACATAGGATAATGAAACCATCTCTTCCTCTCATCTCAGAAGCAAGACTGGGCCACCATGAGGACGTGATTAGGAAAGGAGGCTGCTACATTGTGCCCGGTCCCTTGTCTAGAACCTGCACATCACAGCAGGAGCTGGGGAGGTCTTAACACCCAGTGGAGTAAAGAGCTGAGCCCAGAGGACACCCACCTTCACTGTAGCCATTGCCTGGGTTCCGGCCATTGGAGTAGTAGAAGCCATTGTAGAAGGGCAGTCCAGAGATGCCAGGCAACAGGAACAACAGGACCAGGAGCAGCAGGCCCATTTTGACATGCATGGCCACAGTGCCAGGGTGTCGTGGGCAAGGGTGGGACGGGGCGAAAACTGAGAAGAGGAAAAAAACAAGGCCATTAGAGAAGCCCTGCTGTGGGGGCCCAAGACCCCTCTGTTCCAGGCCCGACTCGCCCACTCGCTCGACAGTGCATGGAGCATCTTGCCCATGTCAGACACTGTTCCCAGAGCCATGAAAACAGCAGATAAGGTTCCTGTCCTCAGGGGGCTGTACCCCACAGCCAAGATGGGCAATAATCTCACAGACAAGTCCTAAGAGGAATTAGTGGGCAGCAATAATGGAGAAAATTAAGCAGGACAATATGATGGTATCAACATTTTTCAAGCTGCGGGTTTGAATTTGAAAGGTGAGCAGCATTTTTTAATTAATCCAAACGCTGGACTAGAATAGAAAATGTCAGGGCACCCTGCATGTTTAGTGATGATGAGTCCTGCACTGCAAAATTTTTGTTTCAGTCCCGAAATGTTTGTGGGGTGGAAGGTAGGGGGTCACAATGTGAAATCTACTTCTTATTCTGGGTCAAGGTCAAAAAGAATTTTTTTTTTTTTTTTGTCCAGGGCTGGGTTTGAACCTGCCTTTGAGCCACAGGCACCGCCCCAAAAAGAATTTTTTAACTCCATGCAAGAGCACTTCTAGTGGGGAGTGGCTATTCCAGTTTGGGTACTCAAAATAGGCAGCTAACCCATGAACTGTAGTTTGTTTTTAATTTTTTAATATTATATTAAAATATTCTGTCTTGAATACTCAGTTTTTTGGCAAACCCCCTTCTTCTCCTACTTTCACATCCAAAGCTAGTGCCTCATTCATCTCACCCTGGTCCCTTCTAACCTGCCATTTACTGAGTGCTCTCAATAATCAAAAGAGTGGGTCACTCCCTGCAGGAGCTCAGTCCAGCACAGAGGCACTGTCATGGGCAGTCATGATACTATGTGGTGAGTATAAAGCTAGGGTACAGAAAAAGAATGTGGACAAAAGCCTGAAGATGCAAGTGTTTATCAGGTGGAAGAGGACTAACAGGTGTCCTCAGCACGGGGCACAGCCACTGCAAAGGTGCAGAGGCCAGCAAAAGCACATGGGGCTGGGCATATGCTGGATGTCCTCCATTTGTCCCCCACAAACCCTCCATTTGTGCCCTTCTCTGTTGTGCATTCCTCCCTGTGGGTCACCTGTCCTGAGCCCCCTGGTCCTCTGCCAATGGGAGGCACCCACAGAAGATGGGCAGAGAGAAGCCACAGAAATCAGGGTGTCTCCGCCCAGCTCCCTTCCTCTCCAGTGCTTCTGTCGTGGCATCTGCAATTACTTGTCTCTGTATCCCCAACCTCCTTGTGCAGTCCTTCACCCTACTCTCTAGAAGTCATGCCTTCACTAAAGTGTCTTTATTGGAACCAGCTGGGCTGAATTCTCCTTACTGCTATGTGGGAGAAGAGGTGAGTGGCTCACCAGGGCTAGTGTCTAGATGCCTTGAGTGTCAGGCCCAGAAGCCGGTCCCTTGTCCCAAAGGTCCTGGGGTGCCAGTGATGGCTTCAAGCAGAGAAGTCACAGAATTAGGCTCACATCTTTAAACCTTCCCTCTAGGGGCTGAGTGGAAGGTATAGACCTGAGGGTAACAAGACCAGAGGGACAGCAGGCAAATATAACTATGATTATCACATAAGAGCATGGAAGAATGCTTAGGGTGTAATTTAAAACAGACAAAGCAGAATACACAACTGCCACTCTGCTAAGATTGCAAGTGTGTGGTCTTATGAAAGCCTGTGTACAGGATCCAGAAGGGGAGGGAAGACCATAAAGAAAGAGGGAGGAAAGGAAGAAAGGAAGAAAGGAGAAAGAAAAACAAAACACTGCCTATAACGGTATAGTTAGGAGCTCTTGCTGGAGGAGAGGGAACAGACGTGGAAGAAGCTGAGAGGTAGAATCCGCCATTCTCTTCAACATCGTTGCAGAAATCCTGAGGTCCTGACTTGCCATCTGTGCTGTGCCCTGCAGGCAGAACCCAACCCCCTCTGAAGCATCACTTCCTGTCCAAGAGGAATTCTCCTTTTGACACCTATAAGTCCTCTTGGTGATGTGGAAGAGGGCAGCATAAGCAGAACTAGGAAACCCGGTACAGAGTCTGGGAACTGGAAGTTCCAAGTTCAAATCTTGTCTATGATTCTGGGCAAGTTTCCTCAGTTGTGAAACGGAGATCATAAAACTCATGATGGCAGGGCAGCGCCTGTGGCTCAAAGGAGGAGGGCGCCAGCCCCATATGCCAGAGTTGGCAGGTTCAAAAACCCAGCCCTGGCCAAAAACTGCAAAAAAAAAAAAAACTCATGCTGCCATATTTCTCACTAACATATTCTAGTTTTCCCCTATGACAATACAGTTCTATAAGTGCACGATGAAGGCTGTATTGCCAACCCTCCCCTTCTAGCTAGAAAAGCCATGTGACTCCATTCTGGCCAATAGCAGCAAACAGAAATAATATGTGCCATGCCCAGGTCTTGCAGTTAAAACAAGTAAGGATGCCTTCCCTGGTACTCTTTCCTCAAACCTGCTGGCAACCACAGTAGCCAGCCTAGACTCAGAGATGGAAACCAGGGATTGATAGCAAAGCTTCCCATTAGCCCAAGGCCTCCTCCACCTGCACTGTCTCATGAGAAAGAAACATTGTCCTGGCCAGGTGTGGTGGCTCACACCTACAATCCTAGCACTCTGGGAGGCCAAGGCTGGCAGATCGCCTAAGCTCAAGAGTTTGAGACCAGCCTGAGCAAAAGTGATATTCCATTTCTACTAAAATAGAAAAATTAGCCTAGGCTGTGGTGGACGCCTGTGGTCCCAGCAACTCAGGAAGCTGAGGCAAGAAGAACTCTTGAGCCCAAGAGTTTGAGGTTGCTGTGAGGTATGATCCCATGGCACTCTACCCAAGGTGAGAGAGTGAGACTCTGTGTGAGAGAGAGAGAGAGAGAGAAGAAAGGAAAGAGAAAGAAAGAGAGAGAAGGAAAAAAAGAAAAAGAAAGATTGTCCTACAATATTTAAGCCATCATGTTTTGAGCTTCTTTTGAAAATAGTTTACCCTCCCTTGGCACTCTCTTCACAGAGTTGCTATGACTTCAGCGAGCACTTACGATCTCATTCAATCCTTACCACAAGCCCTTGAGCTGGGATCTATTAATATCCGCATTTTGCAGGTAGGAAAACCAAAGCACAGAGAATTGAGTAAAATGCCCAAGTTCATCCAGCTAGGAAGTGGCAGAGCTAGGATTTGAACCCATTCCCGCTCCAAAACCTGGAACCACAATGCCAAATCCAGGCAGGTGCCTGTGTAGAGCAGGCAGCTCAGTGCCCCTCACAGAGAAAATCCATGTAGGAGCTGGTTTCCCTTCCGTTTCTTCTGGCTGCACGTTTGGAACCAGGAGGAAAGTAGAACAAGGACTCATCAATGTTGATGTTGAGCTGGATGTCCCAGGGTCTACCTATGGATGCCACCCTCTACACTCCCACAAAAGTCACATCCTCGTCGGCCATCGGTGAGTCCAAGTCCCCTCTGCGCCAGCAGAGGGCGGCTACCCACTACCCCCACCAGCGCGGCTCTGAGGAATTGGCCATCAAAGCCCCCAGTTTAGACAGGGCTTTCCAGGCACCTCTGAAGCCCATAGCCCCGAAAAGTGAAAGGGGAGGTGCTTCCTACCAGCATTCCCAGCCCTCTGGCCCTGGTAGAGTCGTGTAAGACCAGGAAGGACGCCTCCCAATCGCCGCCTCTTGCAGCTGGCTCCCCAGGGTCAGCACTGGCCATGTGGTCCAGATTGGGTCACTCAGCGAGCTCCTGCAGGTTGGGTTCTACTGCCCCGCGCTGTTTCCTCCCTAGAGGCTCAAGAACCTAAAATTCCTCCCTAACCCATCTCTCACCCAGGGCTCTATCCGCCCTCCCTACCCCCGGTGTCCCCTAAAGCAGAAATCCCAGCGAACTGAGGCTTGGATCCGACGGGGATCCACTGTGTTTGACGCAGGCGGCCAGAGCAGCCCGACAGCCCCGGGGCACAAGTCCGCCCACCCGGCTGCCCCACAGGTGGTCTCCATCCCCTCCCAGGGTTTTCGCGACAGGAGCTTCCAACAGATGTCCCAGGGCAGAGCCTGGCGCGCCAGCGCAGTGCTGGAGGCAGCAAGACCAGGACGAGACCAGTCGGGAAGAAACCCAGTGCTATCCTGCAGGAAGCCAACTGGAACCCCAGCGGTGGTCTCGGGGCCACAGGGTTCTCCCGGGCTTTTGCCCTCCAAGAACCCACGGTCTGGAGCAATTGTGCAAGCGATTACAACCAAGCTCAGCCTAGCCCGCAGTGCCCAGCTCACTCTTCCTGCCCCCTTCTCCCGACTCTGCCAGGGAGGAGTGGGGACCGGGAAGAGACCCAAAGCAGGGCCCAGGAGCCCAGAGACCCCGGAGCCACGTACCGTCCCCAGGCAGCTCCTCAACGGCTGGAGCCCTCAGGGATGGTCCTGATCCGTGACGGAGGGCGAACTTAGGGCTCTTGAATGGCCTAGAAGGAAGCGGCAGCAAAGAAACCCCCTTGCTCCCGCCGGACCAGCCCCTTAAAGGAACACGCTCCCCTTTCCCTCTCAGGGGCTGGGCAGGAGTCGCCGCTGCCAGCTTGGGACCGCCTCCAAACAGCCCGGGGGTGCTGGCGGGGCTATGATGGGAGTGTCCAGGAGTTGAGGTTGTCACATCTTGGGAGAGATGAGTGGAGAGTAGGGCCTGAAAGAGGAGCCCTGGTGGGAAGGGTCCCTTCGAAAAACTAGTTCACCAAAAAACAGTGGTGGGGCAAGCCCATCTTTAGCACTCTGCAAGTGGGCTACGGCTCCCCCACCTCTGAAATAGGGAAGTTCTGTATGCCCTTCTCTTCCCCATAGAAAGGAAAGGATGCTGACATCCTCTTGCCCCTGAGCTTGGCATCATGAAATTGCCAGCCAGATTCTTAACTCAGTGTCAGGCAGATACAGGTAAGTTGCACCTGGTAGGTGGAGTTTGAGTGGCCCAGAGCCCAGAGGGAAGGCACAGGATGAGAGGCTCGCAGAAGCCTGTAGGGGCAATCAGGCTTCTGACTGGTCTCCTCCCCCACCACCACCACCCCAAGGGTGAGGCCCTCCCATAGGAATCCTGACATTCACAACACAGCCATCCAGGCAGCCAGCTCTCAGGATGCCTCTGTTTGCACAGGGTGTTTTCTTTCCCACCCGTGCCCCCCCCAGTCCAGGCCAATGGGGGGCCCTAGCCTGGATGGCCCTGTTTTCTCAGGAGAAAAAACTAAGATCTTTCAGCTTTGGCTGGGGGAAGGGTCAGGGAGGCACATTGCTCAGAGTCTCTTCCTAAACATGCTTCAAGATTGCCCAGGGGACAGTGCCTGCGTCCATTACACACAGCTGGGAGCAAATGAGAGCAGGAATAAATGTGATAAAGGGGTAAACTGAGTCTGAACTGCTTGATGGGCAAAGAGGAGCCAAGAGAGTTTCCTCTGCAGGAAAGAGACATGTCTGACCACCAAGTGCAGGATGGACTGGAGGGGAAGTCAACAGGACACAGGTGACAATTAGAAAACTCTCGCAAGCTCATCAATGATGGCCAATGTTTCAGAGGCCTCTGATGAGCTAGGCTTTGCACCAATGCCTCTGTGCATTCTCTCCATTAGTCCCCACAAGGCCATAGCCTCTTACTATTATTTCCATTTTACAGATGAACTAAGGTCCAGAGGGGTTAAGTAACTTGCCCATCACCCAGAGCAGAGAACCCAGGCTGCCTGACTTGAGGCTTTGAGCTCCTATTCACTCCATCATATTTAATTAAGGAAGAGGAGGGGAAGGGTCAACAGATCCCAGTGTAGGGTGATAGGTACAGACCAGGGAGGGTCAGTTGAGCAGGTGGAATCTCAGTGCTGGCTCTATGAACTTCCAGTCAGGAAGAAAAGCGTAAATTCATGGTGGTGATGGTAAAAAAGCTGTGGATATGGAGACAGCCCAGGGAGAGGAGCCCAGCAGGAGAGGGAAAGGAGTGAGGGGACTCCACTCCAGGGTCCCAGAAGGGGAACCTTCAGAAGACAGTGGCCAACAACCCAAGGCTACAAGATGATAAAGGACTGAGAGGTGGTTTAGGCAAGTCTAGAGTTACCTCAGATCTCCTGCGGGGCCAGGTGGGGAGCTAGTGACCATAGTCCACCAGCCTCCATAGCCAATCAGCCACAGGAAATACTCAAGGTGTGACCAACTGGGCAAGTTGGCAGATAGGAATGAAGTTCATGGTTTTCCCTACTGTGAGTAGAATTCCTGGGTCAGACTATAGTCACTGGGGAACAGAAACATCCCAGAGCAGATGCCAGGAAAGATGTTTCTTTCTCTCTCTTCTCTCTCTCTCTCTCCCTCCCTCTCTCTCTCTCCAAGTCTCTTGGGGAAACCAGAACAGGGGCTAGGGTAGGAAATGTATCAGGGGAGAGTCAGAGGCCAGCAGCCACCCAGAAAGACTCCCCTCCACTCCCAGTCTGCAGCACCATAGGGGAGAGCTTAGAAACCAGAAGGAGAGGGCCAAGGGACTCCCTGGCATGCAAGTCCTGCATCCCCAGTTCCTACAAAGGCCACAGCCTGGGCCTTTTATTCTGTCCCAGAACCCCTGGCAATGGTAGCTCTCAGGAAGGAGCCACTTCCAGACTAGTTCCCCTGATGTGGCTCCAGCAAAGCCACACCCTCCGCTTTGCAGCCACATAGTCTGACCTCCTGCTGCCCAGAAAAATTAATCTTAAACACTAGGGTGGATTCCCACATCCCCTTCCCAAGGAGGCAGTTCCTCCAGTCTGCCAGTCTTCTTCCCAGATGGCCTAGGTACTGGCCTACACTGCCTCCCCACCACTTTTTGATGGAGCAGACCAAGATGGAACCCCTGGAGCTTTCCTCCAGCCCAGGAGTGCACATGCCAGGGGCCTCCCAGGAACCAGTATGCCAGGAGGCCTCATGCCCAAATGGCAGAGCCCTGGCCCCTCCCCCATCCACACTGCAGCCCATCCCAAGACCTCCCACAGCTCTGAAAGCAGCCCAGGTTCCCTGGGTTTCTAATAGTTTCTCCAGCACGCCACTCCAGTTGCAGCAGGGAAAATGGAAATTCCCGAAGAGAAAAAACAGCAGTCCCAGCCTGGCCAGTCTAGCTGGCAGGATGGGGGTTAAGGCATTCTTGGAGACAGCCTGTGCCAGGAACCCACTGGGCCCCTCACTAGGCAGCAGCTAGAGCCCCAGGGCCAGACTGTTACAGAAGCAGAGGATGGAGGGGAGGAGGTGAAGTCAGGCTCCAAGGGTCCCCTCCAGTCCCCTCAACCCTCAGCAGTAGTCTCCCTCCTCCTGCTGTCTCACTGTAGGGAAGACAACACAAAGAATGCTGGGGCTCTGGGAGGGCTGAGAGTGCGGGTGGGAGAACAGCACCTGCTAAATCCCATTTCCACGCAGCAATGATGAGCCACAGCCAGGGTTCCCGTGAAGAATATAAATATATTTTAGAAGCTGCCTGTGCACTTCAGGGTGAAGAGCCAGCAGAGAGGGCCCCACGCCAGCCAGCATGCCCACCTCCTCCCTGACCTGCCTCCTCCATCTCTCCACAGACTCGCCCAGCCCCCTCCTGTCATGCTAGGCTCCAGGACAAGGGTCAAGAGAAGTCTCCAGGGAGATAAAGGAAGTGTCTCAGGGACCAGGGGGCAGTGGCAGGAGTGGCAGCAGCATGCTCTTATCTCCAGCCTGGCGTTTGAGGGCCTTCCTCACAGGAGTGGGAATGTGTGTGGGAGAGGGGCTGGGAAGGACACAGAGGCACCTCCAGACTCAACCCAGAGCCTGGAATCAGGGGTCTGGAGGGTGCAGGGACCCCACACGCCCTGTTCCACCCTTTCCTGTCCATCCCAGACCTACTCAATTCCTACAGTGCCAAAGAAAATGGGCCACATGAGGGCTGGTGCCAGGGGCACATGGGAGGTGGAAGCTGACGATGAGGGAGGGAGAGATGACTGTCCTGTGGCGGTGCCTCTGCAACCCCTCCCTCTCCTCAGCCCCAGCACCACTACAATCAGGGAGGGCCAAAGGGGCAGCAGGCTCACAGAAGGCAGGAAACCCAGGGAGGGCAGGTGGCCTCAGTAGCCCTTCTGGCCACTTGGGCCAGGCCTGCCACTAACAGCCCAGCAGCTCCAAGCGCAGGGTGATGCGATTATGCCAGGCCACGGGCAGGATACGCACAAAGCGAGCCAGGATGGGTGTCTCAAACACATTCTTCTTGTGAGAGTTGTTGTCTGAGTTGCCAGGGAAGATCTAGAAGCAGAGACAGTGTCAGGGGAGCCCCAGAGCCAGCCTCCTACCCCTCAAAGTGCCAGGCCAAATTCCTCGGGAAGCAGGGACAGGACGGGAAAGGGAGGGCAGCAGTCCAGATGCCCACCTTGCTCTTGTCAGTCCTGGGATCCTTGTACTCAGTCCATGTCATGCCATCATTACTGTAGGCCACCTTGTAGGATGCCACATACTGGATGCTGCCAAAGTCACGGGCCCCCTGGGTGATGATGCCTGTCACTTCCCTCTGGGAGCCCAGGTCGACCTACAGAAGAAAACCACCACATGTTTTTTGCTTGAACCCTCTCCAGGAAGGTGGAAAGACACAGGCACACTGGGGCATGAATTCTAGTTGCAGGAAAAGGTACTTTACATGGCTAAGCCTGTTCTTCAGCTATAAAGTAAGCATAAACGATGCCACCTACTTTGCCACACATGCCATGAGGCCCCTCACTGCAGCAGAGCTCGTATTTCAGGGTCTAGATCCTGGCCACCCCTGCCTCAGACCTATACTGGGGTGTCCTGGGAAGAGGGACAAAAGAAGCCATAATCTACAGGGGTATGCACTGCTCCAGAGCCCCCAAGGGCTGCCCACAGACAAGGGTGGCCCAGAAGGAGGCCTGATGCAGGTAGCTCCCCAGGGAACCCAACTCCATGAGCACTCAAAGGGCCCAGAGACAGGCCTCCTGCCCCCAGCCCATGACCACTGGGAACCCACCAGCTGCCCCTGGACAGGCAGTTCCGGGGTTTGGGTTGCAGACTCAATTCAGTACCAACCAGCAAGCAAGCCCCAGGCAAATCCTCATCCTTCCAAAACTCAGTTTCCTTATCTATAAAACAAGCTCAGTTTTCCACGACTCTTGTGTCTCCCAGTATCAGTGAAGTACAAGGGCTGCCCCCCGGGGTTCTCAGTCATGAAGTCAGAGAACAGACACTCTGTGCTCAAGGAGAGAGGTCCCTGGCACAGCACCCGTAGCACAGTGGTTATGGCTCCAGCCACATACACCGAGGCTGGTGGTTTCAAACCCAGCCCAGGCAAGCTAAATAACAATGACAATTGTAACAAACAATAGCCGGGAGTTGTGGTGGTCACCTGTAGTCCCAGTTAATTGGGAGGCTCAGGTAAGAGAATCGCTTGAACCCAAGAGTATGAGGTTGCTGTGAGCTGTGACACCACAGAACCCTAAAGAGGGTGACATAATTAGACTCTGTCTCAAAAAAAAAAAAAAATGGGGGAAAGAGGTCCCAAGATGCATGGGTCAGGTCTCCCTCCTCTGTCCTGCCATGCTGTCCACAGACTGTGCTTTGTCAACCCTATGGCAACTGAAGGAGGTGGCTCTGCCCTTACACACACACACACACACCCTGGGGGGCCTTGGTAGAAGCAGGATCAGGAGGAAAGTGGGTCAGATGGGAGAAAGAAAAAGAAAAGCCAAAGAAAAATAAGCCTTTTTAGAAACTCTTTTGGGGAACAGAAACCCAGGGTGGGGGTGAAAAGTCAAAGATACGGCAGCCCATCCGACCCCACCGACCCCAGCCCTGCATACGAAGAGGGACCTGACCTACCTGCAACCACTCAGAGGCATTGTTGCTCGCAGCAGTCCAGGCATTGAACTTGCCCTGATAGTCCAACCTTGCGTAGAAGGGGTACCAGCTGAAGGCCTGCACGCCCCAGGTCTTGTAGGTGCTGGAGGCCTTGACCTGCTTGTCAAGGATGATGTTGTCCTTCAGGCCCAGGGGTTCGGAGCATCCTGCCAGCAAGGGGGGCTGTCACCCAGATCTAGGATCCACAGCTCCCAGTGATAAAAAGGGAAGAATTCTGCGGATCCCAATTAGCCCCTGGCATCCTCTTGGACACAGAAAGAAGCTCCATCTGCCTTGCAAAGTCAACTGTTCTGCTCCCTCTCTGCCTGCCCTGCTAGCTCCTCTCTCAGCCAGCTGGGCTCAGCTCCCACCCCACCCCTCTCCCTCACCCTAGAGGTCACACCCACCAACCAATCCTTCTCTCTCTGAACCAGGGAAGCCCCTGTTCCACCTCCTCCACCCTCTTCCAAGGCCTGATCTTCAAAGCACCTCCTCCAAGAAGCCTGCCCCAACGACTTCACTTGGTCAGGACTCCTTTGTCTGGACTCCCTGCACACCCTCCATCAGTTCTATGGACAGCTCCTATCTACAGCTGTTCAGTGCTCACATCGGTCATGTAATCTACCACGGGATATACCTGAACAAAGTACAAATTAGTAACCCCATGGCACACATAACCGAGCCTGAGGGACATTAAGCATCATGCTCAAGTCTTTCTCACACACACACAGACACAAACCACGAGGCCACACTGCGACATCATCAGCATTGCCTCTACCACCCACACACCCCACCCAGAGCATGATGGCCAGCGAGTGGTGACCCCACAGTGGCCTCGAAGCTATTCATGCCCTCTAGCAGCTTGAAGTCAGAGAACTAAGAGAAGTCCTAGAACTCAGGAACATTCCTTCAATCTTTCAATAGCTCTCCCCCTCAAGTGTCTCCCAGGGGGCCTTTGTTTACTCAGCAAATGTTTCTGAGGTGCTGTCACACAGCCCTATGAGGACTAGCCTTTGTCTCACTCAGGCCTGCCCCAAGCAGGAATGTGCAGGGCCTGTTTTGCACTAGTCTCTGTACCTGCATGTGGCCAGAACCGCTGGGGATGGGCAGGAGATAGCACTCCCAAGAGAAGGGTGGGTATGCCTTCCACCTGGCAGAACCCCTACTCCCCAAGTGTCTGTCTCTGTGGGGAGTAGAGGATGGGAGGCAGTGGGCCTGGACAGCCACACTGCCATGCACAGCAGGTTACACTAAACGAAACTTTTCAGCACTCAGGACACTTGCACCCTTGCCACTCCTGACATTTCCCTTCCAGATTGTGCTGCTGATGCCTGTCAATACCTGACCTACCTTCCTCCCACAAACAGAGGCCACTGGGCTGAGAGCTGGGTGTCCCTTGGCTCCAGAACATGGGAGGCCTGGAGCAGCTTTTCAGAGGACACAAAGTCTGCAGGCCAGCTACAGATCATCTGCCTCTAGATCACGCCCTCACTCTGGGCATGATTACCAGCCTGCCCCTCAGCTCTAGGTTTCAGCTCCACCAGCCTTTGTTCAATAGGTCCCAGGGCCTTTGCACTTACCAATTCCTTGCCTGGAATGCTCTACCCAAGTTCTTTATGTGGCTGGCTCTCCATCATTCAAGCCTCCACTCAAAGGCTATTCTGGCAGAGAAGCCCCTACAGCAGCCTACCCTTTACCAAGTCACCCTTTACCCCACTTTTCTTCAGAGCTCCTTCTGCTCTCTGACCTTTCTTTTATCTGCTCTTTGCCTCATATCCACCTCCCCCACTGGAATATAAGTTCCACGAGGTCAATAATCTCACTTGTATTATTCCCTAGAGCCAACTACTCAAGGGGTGCTCAATAAACACCTTCACAGGGCAGCACCAGTGGGTAGGGCACCAGCCACATACACCCAGGCTGGCAGGTTCAAACCTGACCCAGGCCTGCTAAACAACAATGACAAATGCAACAAAAAAATAGCCTTTGGCTCAAGGAGTAGGGCGCCAGTCCCACATACCAGGGGTTCAAGCCGGGCCCTGGCCAAAAACTGCAAAAAAAAAAAATTTTAGCCGGGTGTTGTGGTGGGCACCTGTAGTCCCAACTACTTGGGAGGCTGAGGCAAGAGAATCACTCAAGCCCAAGAGTTTGAGGTTGCTCTGAGCTGTGATGCCACGGCACTCTACCCAGGGCAATAGCTTGAGACTCTGTCTCAAAAAAAAAAAATTTTTTTTTTAATTTAAAAATAAATTAATTAATTAAACACTTTCACAGATGTCTATGAAGTTAAATAATTAACTGATTCACCAAAGACACCATGCCTGCCTGCAAAGAGGAATCCATCCTGTGGGTTCCTGGGTACATCCCGCTCTCAGCCCCACCCACCCACACAAACACACACACACCCACACACGTGCATGTACACACAAACATGCACACACACACCAACATTCTCCCCAGTTGGCCGGAGTGCCTATCAGGAAAGGAATCCGTCCAGACCTTGAGGGAGGCAGCCAGGCCAGCTTTGCTTCCTGCGTTTACACCCTCAGTCACAGCCCTCTCTTGGTTGTAAGGGGAGCCAACTGAGACACAAGCATGTGGCAACTTTAATAACCAAAGGCCTTAGGCTGAAACAGCACATGGTTAGGGACTTCCTCAGGTCTGAGAGAGTTGCACAGACCTGGCTCTTTCCTTTACCAGTTGGCAAAACTTCATTTTAGCAGAAGGCAGAGTCTTTCATTCCCCCACTGAAACAATAAGCCTCAAAAGGCAGTGAGAAGCAGCACACCACCTTAGATTCAAACATTGCTCAGTGCTTACGGCACCAGCCACATACACCAAGGCTGGCAGGTTCAAATCCAGCCCAGGCCAGCTCAACAACAATTACACCTGCAACAGAAAATAGCCGCATGTTGTGGCAGGTGCCTGTAGTCCCAGCTACTTGGGAGTCTGAGGCAAGAGAATCACTTAAGCCCAAGAGTTTGATATTGCTGTGAGCTGTGAAGCCAAGGCACTCTACCAAGGGCAACATAATAAGACACTGTCTCAAAAAAAAAAAAAAAAGTTAAATCCAGCCAGGCACAGAACTCAGCTTGGGGGTGGGGCTATTCAGTGATATCTGAAATGGGATAACAGGAACAAGTAGCACAGATGAGAAAAGGGGACACAGAAGGGTAGGTCTGGGGTAAGACAGAAAAGGCAGCAAGACACCCCCTCCACTCTGCAGCTTTGCCCAGCAAGCCTACATGTAGTTCCACTTGTGGCCAGTATGTGGCACTGTGGCTGCACAGAGAGGGATCTAGTCAGGCATCAGGTGAGAACTGGGCAGAGCAAAGCAGGGTCCAGAGCCCAAACCTTGCACCGCAGGGCCAGGAAAAAGTTACTTCTCCAATGGTGAAGCTTTCCTGACCCTGCAGAAAACTTATCCCTTTTTGATCCCTCATTTCTCCATCTGGGAATATCTTTGGCCTTGAACTAGGTTCAAGCAGCCCTTCCACCTAGATCTTCCTGCCTCAACATGCCAAGCACTAGGATCCCGTGTGCTGGGCCAGGGAATCTCTTTGGGAAGAGCAACAGAAAACCCAGCTCCAAGCTCCCTGATCCTAGAAGCCCCCATGTTTGTCTGAGAGATTACAAAAAATTTGGCAGGTAAAGTGTTGGATGGGTGGGGTCAGAAGCCCCAGAGACCTAAACCAAGTTTTAATACCTAGCAGCTATGTATCCTTAATAGTTTATCTGTGTCTCAATTCATTCATTCACTCACTCATGAAACATGTATTGAGCACCAGACACTATTCTAGGCACTGGCAATACTGCACTGATCAAAACAAAGTCTCTGCCCTCATGAACATCCGCAAAACAGAACTAATGATATATGTTTTAGAAGCTGTAAGACCCAACCAACATAAGCAAAAATACTTTGAAAACTAAAGTAATGTTTTTCTCTACTGGCCAGAATGCCCAGGACCATCAGTCAGCCAACAACAGGTCTGCAACAGCCAGATGATCCTCTAGTGTGAGCTTCCTGTGCAAGCCCAGATCCCCAGGCCTCATTGCTGCCCCACCCTGCTCAGCATGACTGAGACAAGAGGGACAGGGAAGGCCACAGATACCCACACTCACCATTCAACTCACAGCCAAGGAGCTCGAACCGCAGGGTGCAGGCCCGTTGGCAAAGCACAGGTAACAGCCTCACATACTGCGCCTCCACAGGGGTCTTAAATAGGTTGTATTTCAGGCCATTGTTGTCCACATTACCCATAAACACCTAGAAGGGAAGGGGCAAGACTGAAAGGCATGGGTCCACATGGACAGTCCCCCTTTGGGGGTTGCTTCATCTTCCCTTCTAGACCTGGGAGGCAGAGGTGGGGCTGGGGGGTGAAGAGGACTTAGCAGAGCCAGCAGGAGCTCAGCAGCAGCCTTATCTTTGGCCACCCCACAGTCCCACCCTCAAAATGGATCTTCCTCCTCACACCTTCCTTGGTCATCATGGGGCCTTATATCATGTTGTCTTTCACACAAGGTCATCCATAACCCACTGGAGGTGTCTGTGCAAAGCAGGAAAGGGCACTCCTTTCTCAAAATATTTTATTATAACAATTTTCTGACAGAAGTCCACAAACGAACAATGTCTGTATTGTGAATAGTACCCATTTAGTAATGGCATCCTTGAACAGTATACAACCTGAACAACTGTATATGGTAGCCCTGAAGTCTCAGAATGAAACCCAGCTCCACCACTACTACCACCCTCCACAGGTTATTACACTATTTTGAATCTTGCCATTCTCATCCATAAAGTGGGACCACCATTTGTTCCTATAAAACATGGGCACAATCTGGGTTTCCCAATTTCTGGAAGTCAAGATGCACCTGAAGACCCACCTCAAGGCCAATCACCTAAAGTACCCTCACCTTGTTTGGGATCCTAAGTCAGTGCTAAAACCCTAGACAGTGCCAACCACAACCCTTCTTTAGGGCCCCAACAAGCCCCACCTTGTCTCCTAACGTCTCTGTATCCTGGATGACTGTGAATCTGTGTCCATCAAGGCTGTAGGCCACCTTGAAGGTCTTCAGGTACTCATGAGTACCCGCGCGGCTGGCTCCCTGTGTCACCACACCCGTCACCCACATCTTCCGCAGCAGGTTTACCTGGACCCGGGGTGGGAGAGAGGGTACCCTCATCTCCTGTTCTTTCCAGTCAAGATGCAGGCACATTCATCTCCCCTTCTCCTCTCCCATATCCTCACCCCAGGGCCATCCCCTCTCATACCTGGATCCAGGGGTTTTTATCATAGTTGCTGGCCGTCCAGGCATTGACGATGCCTGTACGGTGCAGGCGGGCCAGTTCTGGGCCCCAGCGCTGCAAACCCATGAAGCCCAAGTGCACAGATGAGGCAGAGATCTGTGAGTCAGCAATGGCACCCCCCTCCATGCCCACCGGCGTGGCACATCCTGACAGGATGAAAAAGGCAGTTAGGTGGTCACTGAAGCAGGTTCTAGGGCCCAGCTGGGACCCAGGGAATGAGAGAATAAGACCATGTGGCCTTTGCCAAGGACTGAGGCCCAGAGAGAACCTCAGAAGTTCACCCAGAGCAGAGATCACAAAGGAATAATGTGAGTGCCCAAGGGGAGGTACCAACGAAAGGCGTGTGGCAAGTGTAGGGAGGAAGGGGAAAGGGGACAGGGCAGAGTCATAGGGTGCTGGGACCCAGGCCACAGTGCCACTAATGAGAGGTGGAGTCCTCTGCAGGCCATGGTAGTGGTCTTGTTCTTACAGGGCACAGAGCAGCACTTATTCTGGTGTGAGGGTGGGACTGGTGGGAGAAAATACCATGTGACTCCTCTTCCTACCATCTCCACCCCACCAGGGAGGGTCACCATCCTCAGCTCAGCCCCTGGCTTCCCCTGGAGGGTGTCTTTGGGTATCTGCATTGCACGCAAAGCAGTAAACAAATCTGCCTGGAGTTTTCTAGAATCCCAGTGGCAGGCATTCTCTGGGTAGGGCACAAATACCACTCTGCTTTCCCTCATGGTATTCGTGCCCTATCTTTGCACCATCCACCTGCAGGCCCTCACCCAGCCAGCCATTTGTGAACATGCTCCTGACCAATGCCCCCATCCCCTTCACCGTTATCCCAGCAGTGTGATCCCAGGGACTCACAACAGCTGCCAGGCCCTCCTACAGACAGTCTTGCTTTCCCTTTAGGGATCTCCTCTTGGTGTAAGCCTGGGCCTTCCAGCTGCCAAGCAGAGAACCCAGGGACAAATGTATTCTTCCTCCCATACCCCAAGGCTCAGGCTGAGCTCAGTGCTGTCACACTCACATAGGAAAGGGAAGGTACAGAGTGAGGCGAGACTCCCCAGATCAGAGCTGGCCAGTGGCTGAGCAGAGATCTGACTCCAGTCTGCCTCCAAGACTCTCCTCACACCCCACTACTCACACCCTAAGGAACCCAAATGTATGTTCTTTAGGCCTGCGGGGTCCTTCCAGGCTCTGAGGAAACATATCACATAACAAACAAGGAAGGGCTGCAAAAGTCCACCTCGAGCGTGGGCTTCCTTGTTCCTGCGTGGTCATCCCCTGCCCTCCTCCCCAGGTCAGATGGTTAATTCTAACTCAGGTTCACCACGGTTATCTGGGCACCCAGCCCAGTAATTAGCAGGCTCACCTGGCCCCACCTAAGCTCTGTCTGCCTTAGCAATCTCTTTCCCCCACATCCTTCCTCCAGTATCTTGAACCCATCTAGCTTAGCCCAGAGCCCAATAGTCCTGCCTCCTCTGAGAAAAGGGCATCCCAGCATTTCAGCTGCTCTTCCCCTGGGCCTTCAGTCCCACCCAGCTGGCTCCAGCTCTCCCTCCTCCTTCTGTGGGCTATCACCTAAAGGAGGACAAGATGCTCAGCCACTACCTGCTGGACTGCAGACCTGTGACTCCCCACACACACATACTCCACTCATCCCTGGGTCAGACTGTGTCTCAGTGTGGCTAGGCGCACAGGAGGGAGGGACTCTGGCTGGGCCAAGAGGGAAGACAGCATGGAGAGATGCTGTCGGCAATGTCAACTGGGCACCTCACCGAGGGCCATTCTATGACTGAGTGGATAACCAAGCAGGTCAAGAAGGGACAGCCACTCTGCACACCCAGGGCCTCTGACCAACTGACCATGAGGGGACAGCCCAGCCTGCCTAGGCCTTCCCATCCTTCCCGAACTCTGTGATAAGACCGCAAGTCAAACCTGGGCCAGGAACTGTCAGCCAATGATGCCATGCCTGATTTACTGAGTTTGTTTGGCCCCAAAATATTAAGAATACATTTGTTTTTCCCTCTTAGGTAAAGAAAGAAAAACCCAAGACTTAACCCTAGTGTTGTATGTCTGGCTCATGGTGACTCAGGAAACGGTACTCCCATGATCTCAGGGTTGACCACAGCCCCTCACTGTCCCACAGTGACAAGAGGCCTGCCCTGCAATCCCAGGAGAGAAAGCCAGGTGGAAAGAAGCCTGTGGAGGAATAAGAGGACCCTCCCCACCACCTGGCCTAACTGAGGCTCTGTCCCTCCTTTGACTTCTCCAGAGGTGGCTCTGATACAGGGAATAAAGCCAGCACATGGCCCATGCCACCAGGACTGTGGCTTAAGGTCTGCCCTGGGAGCAGGTACCCCCAGATACTCACTGTCATCACAATGGGTGCCTACGTAGCCCTGAGTACATATGCAGGCATACGGGGTGAAGACATCCCCTCGCCGTTCGTTGCCAGTCACTCGGCATTCACCACCATTATGGCAGGGGTTTGGAGAACAGGGATCTGTGGACAGAGAGGCAGGTAAGATGAGCATGTGATCAAGAAAGAGCTGGGGACAGAGAAAGAAGGTAGCAGGTAGGCCTAACCCAACCATCCAAACTCAGCCCACCATGTCCCCCCAGCCCCAGTCTGCCTGATGGAGCCTGGGCCAGCCTGGTGCCAAGGAGGGGGATATATAGGAAAATGGGCCCAAATAAGGAAAGTGACCAGCTTTCCAAATGGCCCGGGGGCATCCAGAAAAAAGACAGCTGACAATGGGAGAGGTGTTGGGGACCACTGCCCACTTTGGGAGGGGCTAGAAGTTTGGGGTGTGAAGAGGAAGCCAAAGCCCAGGGCAGGATTCTTCTCAGTCTCGTTGCAAATGAGGCCCGTGAAGCCTTCGAGGCAGAAGCAGTGGAAGGAGGCATTGTCTCGGCCCACCATGCAGGTTCCACCATTCAGGCAGGGGCTGGAGTCACAGAGGTCACCTGCAACGGCAGCCCTCACTCAGAAACAACACGGAGATCACTCAGTAAACATTTGCAGGGCCAATCTGTGGGTGCTGAGTCCCTGAGATAGAGAAATCAGGAGCAGCCCAGGCCTCAAGAAGCTAAAGTGAAAGAAGCAGGAAGTCAACAGAGGAGGAAGAGGTGCTGGAAGCTCTGCACAGATGGCCACCGTAGATCTGATTTCCAAGGAGATAGAAATTTTGCAGAGATGAGGAGATTTGAGCTGGGTCTAAAAGACAGAGTGGAAAGGTACAAGGCTGGGGAATAAGGAAGCAGAAGAAGGCTCTGCGCCTGTGGCTCAAGCGGCTAAGGCGCCAGCCACATACACCTAAGGTGGCAGGTTCCAATCCCCAGCCCGGGCCCGCCAAGCAACAATGACGGCTGCAACCAAAAAATGGCCGGGCGTTGTGGCGGGCGCCTGTGGTCCCAGCTACTTGGGAGGCTAAGGCAGGAGACTCGCTTGAGCCCAGGAGTTGGAGGTTGCTGTGAGCAGTGAAGCCATGGCACTCTACCCAGGGGGATAGCTTGAGGCTCTGTCTCAAAAAAAAAAAAAAAGGAAGCAGAAGAAACAGGTATGTTGGAGAAAAGTGAGATGTGGCTGTTAGGGTAGGTTGGGGCCAGATGCAAGGGACCTTAAAATGACAAGTTTGGATGTTTCACCCTGCAGACCAGGAGCTTTTTTTTTTTTTTTAAGAGACAGAGTCTCACTTTGTTGCCCTCGGTAGAATGCCATGGCTCACAGCAACCTCTAGCTCTTGGGCTTAGGTAATTCTCTTGCCTCAGCCTCTGGAGCAGCTGGGACTACAGGCACCCACCACAACGCCCAGCTATTTTATTGTTGCAGTTTTGGCCGAGGCCAAGTTTGAACCCACCACCCTTGGTATATGGGGTCAGTGCCCTACTCACTGAGCCACAGGCACGGCCCAGACCAGTAGCTTTTAACCTTGCTTCAGCCTCTTTACCATTGTTGGGGGTGGGTGGACAAGAAACATAGACGGTCTCCGGTGTGAGGTGGGAGTGGGGAAGCCAGTACCAATTCTGAGAAGGAGAAGGGTGAAATGCTAGGCACAGATGCTAATGGCTCCCCTAGGGTACAGAGGGTCTGTTTGCTGCAGACAAATCCCTGTGACTTCAGCATGGAAATCCCCTCAAGAGGGCAGAGGAGGAAGGCAAGTCAGGACAGAGGGCTGAGGAGGAGGCGGGCAAGGAGGCCTGGGGAGACCACCAAGGCTTCTGGATGGAGGCCTGAGTGACAGGTATGCACCATCAGTACCAACGGAGAACACAGGGGCCAAATATGCAGGTACACCAGCCAAGTGGCCCCCAAATTCTACCCCCATCCTTATGCCCATAAGAAAAGAGTCCCTTGAAGGTGGGTTCCTGGCCCATTCCCTCAGAAACCCACCTTACCCCAGCCCATCCTCAGTCCCTTGCCTCTGGTACCAACCAGTGAACCACAGCCTACAGGGTTGGCAGGGCCCAAGGAGGGTCTTCTAGCTGGCCTTAGTACTCAACACCCAAATCCATCATTTGGACTAAGACATGAGCAAAATCTTTTTTCCTCCCATCCTGAAATCCCAAAGTCCCCACAGAGCCCACCAGCTCCAAGAAAGGCAACACCATTAATGAGCACTCAGAGTTCCACCGCAGTGGGCCGGGCCTCAGGAGCTTAAGGCAGCTTCCAGCAGGCTGTTAGTCACTGGCTCTAAATAGCAGCTTAATCTCCAGCTCTGACCTGGCCAGCAGCAGGCAATGGCAGACAGAGGCTGGGTAATGGACTCTTCCTCTCCCTCCCAACCACAACTGGCCCCCTATATTGTCCCAGGGCAAAACAGGCCAGAGGGAAAAGGGGGAGATGAAAGGTGTCCCCCACCTGGCCAGGCCTAGGTGAACTGGTTCACATGTGTAGAACAGCCACGATGCTTCTCTTTCCCAGGAAAAGTCAGATCACTGCAAAACCACTTTCGGGACTCGAGGGTCCTACTCTTTGGGAGACTTCCCCAGGGACATTTGACCAAGGCTCAGGTTGAGGGGACAGAAAGTAGGAGTAGAAAGGGACTGTGAAGACCCACCCCCTCAGGGTGGCTGCTCAGGACCAGCACCTCCCGTGTGCGTGGGGGCTTGGAGCTCTCTCACGGCTTCAACTCCAGCCCTGGGGGCCACAGAACAGTTAAGTGCTGGGGCCCAATTGTGGCCTCCCTCGCTTCAGTCTGTCCCATTTCTACGAAAAATGATGGAGAGGCTGATTGACCGCCCCTCAATGCACGCCGCTTTCCCAGAGGCCCCTCGTTGACCAGCACAGGAATCCCCACGAACAGCCTCAGGAGGCCAGCGGCGGGGGAGGACCCAGGAAGATACAGTAGTCTCCAAGGCCGCGGTAGGGAGGCCGGGAGGGATCCGGACCGCCCCGCCGGCAGGCAGCCCTTGTCCAAGCTCCTCCCAGCCTAAGCCCCTCTGGGCCCCACCTAGAGCGCGCGCGCCTTCCACCGACGCCCCAAGCCCTCCCCTTATCTGGCCAGGCACAGACAGGAGGGGTCGCAAAAGTCCAATGAACTGTCCAGCCGTTGAAAGTTGGCTTTAGAAAATTTATGAACACAAGAGCCCTACAATCTTCCAGGTGGAAGGGGTCCGAGAGTCAGACACCGCTCCATGGCTTCATTTTACAGACGGGAAAAGAGAGGTCCGACACAGCGGATTCCTTTGTTATGTGTAAGCCGCATCCCAGGGGAGAGCAGGGCTGTCACCCTGGGTCCCAAGCCCCAGCCCAACGCGCCAGCCTCCATCACCGCCCCAAAGCCCGGAGTGGGACAGCAGGGAAGGCCACGCACCCTCGCCCCCTCCAGAGGCTGCGGTAGAAGTGGCCCCTCCGCGCGGCTCTGCCGCCCCGGCCAAGTTTGGCTGCAACCGAGCCGGCGGGAGGCGCCCGCGAACTTCCGAGCGGCGGAGAGGAGGGGCGAGCGTGTGGCGGCGCGGCGCACTCACCGGGGGCGGCCCGGAGGCCGGAGGCGCAGAGCAGCGCGCAGCAGAGCGCGGCCAGCAGGCGGGAGCCCGGCATGCTGCGGAGCGCCGGGTGTGGGCGCAGGGAGAGTTAGCTTGGTTCTTCAGACTGCGGGGTTTTCGCCGCTTCGTCTCCGGGGCCGGAATAAATCCCACAGCTCAGCACCGCCCACCCGCCATGTGCCCCGCCCAGGCCTGCGGGAGGCGGCCCTGGGGCGGGGCTCCGGGGCCTGGGAGGGAACCGGCCGAAAGGAATGGAAGGGTCAGCGGCACCCGTCTCTCACCTCGGCATCCTGCAGGGTCCCTGGTCCTGTGTAGATTGGGCTAGGAAGGGCTCAGGAGGACTTAAAAAGATTTTTTTTAGACTTAAGCAAAGATGGCAAACCTTATTCATAATCAGAGAAATGCAAATTAAGACTCCAAGGGGTACCATGTTTCACTTCTCAAGTAGACAAGTACCAAGATGTTAACACAGCGGCTGGAGGCTGTGCGGACAGATCCAAACATGCTTTGTGGAGGAGCGTATACATTGGCTCGATTTCTCCAGAGAGCTATTTGGTAATACCTATCAAAATAGCAGACAAATGCTGACACCGTAAGACCTAGCATTTCCACTTACAGGTAATCATTTTACAGACATGTACAAAAGTGTCATAGCAGCACCGTTTGAAATAGTAAAAGACTAAAAAACTAATCAGAAAACTTTCTGCGAAGGGCCAAGTAGAAAATACTTTAGGATTTGTAGGACATAAGATCTCTGTGGCCTGTGCTCTGTTAGCAGGAAAGGAGCCATCCACAGTAAAATATATGAGGAAATGGGCTCATGGTTGCCTAAGAGGAGGGAAACCAGAGTAAGTCTGTCACAGTTGACTATTTACAAAGTGATTCTTTTTCATCGTGTGTAAATACTACCGTTTACAAATAAATGATTTTAATAATAGTATTCCAGTCAGACTAGCAAACAAAAAAAGAACAGTCATAAGTCTCCCCTAGTGGCTATGTTGATACTTAGGTCGGGAGGTTGGAACATAAGGTGACCAGATTTTAACATTGGTAAAGCAGGACAACACTGGGGGCGGGGGTTCTTAATTAAAATTTTGGTCTATATGGAACAACAAAAATTTTCATAGAACGCAAAAATAGTATTGTAATTTTTTTTTAATTTCAACATAAGTACAATTTACAAACATAATCATTTTAAAAATCATGTATGGTATTATTTTATTCTTTGGCATATTTCTCATTTGAGTGAATTTTTTTAGTAGATTGCTGTCGTTATTTAAAAGGTCATGAAATTTTTCACAAGAATTTGTTATTGGCTTGGCGCCTGTGGCTCAAGTGGCTAAGGCGCCAGCCACATACACCTAAGATGGCGGGTTCAAATCCACCCAGGCTGGCCAAACAACAATGATGGCTGCAACCAAAAAATATATAGCCAGGTGTTGTGGCAGGCGCCTGTGGTCCCAGCTACTTGGGAGGCAGAAGCAGGAGACTTGCTTGAGTGTGGAGTTGGAGGTTGCCACAGCGCTCTACCCAGGGGATAGCTTGAGGCTCTGTCTCAAAAAAAAAAAAAAAAAAGAATTTGTTAAATTATATTTCACACATAAAATGGCTTTCAAAGTCTCAACACTTAAGTGTGATTTTTCTGATGTCCACACTTTATTTACCATAAAAAAAAAACGCATTCAGTTGCAGCATTAGTTCCTGGTAAGGACAGTGCATATCCCACAATTTTTAGTACATCATTGTATGGAACATGGTTTGTTTCAAAAGGATGAAATATTTCTAACCATTGTTCTCTATTGTGATTTTTGCTGATGCCCAAGATTTAACTTTTTCCTTATCAATATATTTTTTTAATAATGATACCTCATAAGTCGTAAGTGTCACTTTCAAGGCTGGCACTAGACTTTTTGCCACCACTATAAAATATAAATAATACGAGTACTGTCTGCTAAATTCATGAAATAAATAAATAAATTACTTACCTAAATTATCTGAATAGCTGATTTGTTGACATCACTTGTTAAACTAGCACTAGCACGCAGTACTATGTGTATTGTCTGAGAGACAGTTACAAAATGTTTCGTTGTTGCCAATGCCAAAAAATGCCATTGTTCATTAAGTCCAAACAATGGTGGTCGAATTCTAACAACTGATCAACAATGCAAACTTTGATAAGCAGTTCTCGATAATCAGTTCTCAACAATTATTTGTTATTATTAAAGTTTAACATTATAAAATTAACAAAAATAATATAAAACTCATATCCTGGCAAAATAGCCACATGGCAACCGAAAACCGTATATTCCCTTCCTGTTCTCCTTCCATTCCCTAGTTTGTCATAAATTCTTTCCAAAAATCGGGACTTTTTTAAAACATCGTGGGACATGGGACAAATTGTTAAAAATTGGGACTGTCCCACCAAAAGCAGACATCTGGTCACCTTAAACTGTCCATTGGCAGAAGGCCCTTCTTTGAAACTGTTCAGAAGGGAGAAAACTAGTCCAATCAACTTGGACATCCCAAAAATACTATTTGATGATATCTAACAGCCCTTCATGATGAGATACTCAATAAACTAGGAATAATAGGAAGCTTCCTGGCTTGCCTCCTGTAGCTCAGCAGCTAGGGTGCCAGCCACATACACCGGAGCTGGAGGCTTGGAAGCCAGCCAAAGCCTGCCAAACAACAATGACAACTATGACCAAAAAAATAGCCAGGCGTTGTGGCAGGTGCCTGTAGTTCCAGGTACTTGGGAGGCTGAGGCAAGAAAATCGCTTAAGCCCAAGAGTTTGAGGTTGCTGTGAGCTGTGACACCACCGCACTCTACCCAGGGCAACATAGTGAGATTCTGTCTCAAATTTAAAAAAAAAAGGGGGAGTTTCCTCAGCCTGATTTTTTAAAATCTATGGAAAAACCCACAGCTAATGTCATACTTAATAGTGTCCTCAAAATCAGGAACAAAACAAGGCAGTCTACTCTTAGTCACTTTTATTCAACACTACTGAAGGTTCTAGCCAAAACAATTAGGCAAAAAACAAAATCCAGATTGGAAAGGAGGAAGTAAAACTATATCTCTCACCTCGGCATCCGGCCAGGTTCCCAAATGTTGTGGTCTTGTATATTTAAAAAACCCTAAGAATACGCACACAGAGAGAGACAACTATTAAAGGATTGAAGGTAATAAATGCATTAAACAAGGTTGCAGGATACAGGAGACACAAAAATCAGTTGTATTTCTTATATTAGAAATGAACAATCCAAAAATGTAATTAAGAAAACAATCTCATTTACAATAGGATTAAAGTGAATGAAATACGTGGGAATAAATTTAACAAATTTATTTATGTAGTGTATATCAAACACTACAAAAACATTGTCAAAAGAAATTAAAGGCCTAAGTAAATGGAAAGTTGTTCCCTGTTTATGAGTTGGAAGACTTGGATTGTTAAAATGACAATACTCCCCAAATTGATGTACAGATTCAATATAATCCCTATCAAAATTCTAGCTGCCTTTTTGCAAGAAATTGACTAGATGATCCAAAAATTGACTTGGAAATGCAAGAAACCCAGAATAAAGGCCAGATGTGGTGGCTCGCACCTGTGATGCTAGCACTCTGGGAGGCCAAGGCAGGTGGACTGCCTGAGCTCACAGGTTCAAGACCAGCCTGAGCCAGAGCAAAACCCTGTCTCTAAAAAACAGCCAGGTGTTGTAGCAGGCACCTGTAATCCCAATTACTTGGAAGGCTGAGGCAAGAGAATCACTTGAGCCCAAGAGTTTGAGGTTGCTGTGAGCTATGACATGACAGCACTCTACCCAGGGCAACAAAGTGAGACTGTCTCACAAAAAAAGAAAAAAGAAAAGAAACCCAGAATAGCCAAAACAATCTTAAAAAAAGAAAAAAGGGCTCGGCGCCTGTGGCTCAAGCGGCTAAGGCGCCAGCCACATACACCTAAGGTGGCGGGTTC